TGCGCCATAATCATCACAATTATACCAAAGTAAGGCTTGACATATCTCGCTTTGCATGTAAGGTGTCTATCTCATATATTGGTTTCACCTTCTGAGTTGCCTTACTGTCATAAATGAACATTTGCACGATATTCTAATTTTTCAAGTTTCACCTGTATATCCTACTAGAAGGCATATAGATGTAAAATAAGTAGAAATAAAGAGAATCTATTGCCTGCTCATCAGCTCTCCTCTCACACTGCAGCCATAAGAAGGTGAGCAAGTAAGTAACAATGATGGCCACTTGCTCCCATCTATCCTCCTTCGAGTTAATGAGAGAGTAATAATAGCAACAAGGAACCACAGCCAAGAAGGACTGCAGTAACAAGCAGAAAGTATTAGAGGAGATAGAATTTGGAATATATGGGATTAAAAGTCCCTATATGGAGTTAAAAGTAGAGTATACCCTCAAGAATGCCTTTAGAACAGAGTCCATACTTATGTTTTACCTCTTGGTGACTAACAACAGCAAAGCAATCAACTAACTGCAGTCTAGAAGGTCATGGAATATTGAGAAATGTCCTTTAACAGATAAACAGAAGGCCAGGTTTAATATTTCACAGTGCTGGAATTTTCTCCTCATGGATATTTGCCACAGGTCAGCCTTAATCCAAAATATTTTTATGCAGGCACCTAGCTGAACATGTGAGTGAAGATATATTGATTTGTCTTGTTTTGCTTTTTTTGTATTTGTTTTTTTACTACTTACTGTGATTATTGATGAGGGAGATTACTGTAAGATAGTAGAGAGTACAAATTTGAAAAAGACTTATCTTCCATTATAAGATACTAGGATTATTTGGAGGATAACATCAATAAGACAGCAAACATACTGTCCTAAACAATTTTACAAAACGCTGGAAATAGTAATAAAATTATCTAATGCAATAACAATCATAACAATTTGAAACTATTAAAATGAAAACATGTTATACATTTTAAAATCATATAATTAAATGAAATAGCACATTAGCTATTATAAAGGAAATTCACTAAAATGATGGGTATTCATCTGTTGCACTGTATAATCTGTAATTGTTTGTACTTTAAAAACATGGAGAAAATCTCCACTTTCTGAAAACATCCTTGTTTTGCAACAGTACTGAAACATTCCACAGCTCAGCTGATCAGAGAGTCTGACAGAAACTCAATCCTGAAATACTTCAAGAAGTAGCGGTTGGTCCAAGGACTACATTCGTAATCTGAAGATTTGCAATTATGGAACAAGCAAGTAAGGGGGAAAAAAATACAAAGTGGCACAGAAAAAGCTGAGATCACATTTTGTAGAAGAAAATTAAGGGGATAATTTTTATCTTCAGATCAAATCCATTTCCACTTATCATCACTCTCTTCTCCAAGTTCTAAGATCCTCTCATTTCTACATGTTATTCTTCATGTTCAAGGTTCTACATCTCATCATATCTACCATTTTTATGCCACAAGGCCTTTTACTAGAGACTGGCTGAAGCCATCTATTAAACCTTTAATATCTCTAGAAAACAATCTCGGGTCTAGAGAAAACACACATCCTCACCCAGGCTTGAACATACAATCATGTTCAGGAACAGCACTGAAAGACAAAATAGCACTGACTGGTCCTCAGTGGAAAGGGATCTCTTAAATTAGGGACTAGTAGTCATCCAGATTTTTGCAGCCCAGATCTGGTAGTTCTACTCAATGAAACATGCACTTTTAAGACTTCCTATTAATTCCTCTTCACTTAAAGCAAGGGTTCTCAAACCATAGATCAAATTCATCACCCCCTTGTGCCAGAATACCTTTGCCTCTTTCTCATCTATCTATTAGCCCACCACACCTACTAATATTCCTGCATCACCTAGTTCATCCACTCTGCTCTGCTTCCAGCTTCCCAGACCCATCAGACCTGAAGAAGCGGGAAATGCAGGGGGACAAGGCCAGGCCAGTATCGCTCAGGGTCTTCTTGGTCTCCACAGCTGTTGGAGAGAATGGCTGCCTGGGGAAATGGAGCAGATTAAAGAAGAAGCAGCTGTCTCTCTCAGCAAATCCAACCAACTGAAAGGACCTGGGGGTCCCTGTAGCAGTCACTGGTATGCCTGCCCCTCTTAAACAATCCCTACCTGCCAGCTAGGAGGAAGAGGCAGAACTGAGGCCTGAACAGAACTGCCTGCACCATGGAGGGCTCTACACCCAAGGTTCGACAGGCACTCAGCTTGGCTTTCGTGCTGCTCTGAAGCTGCTGGTGCAGGTCTGCCTGCATGGGACTGCCAGAAGTTGTCCTGCCCAAAGCTTCTGGGCACAGGAGGGAACCACAAAGCCACTCCAGAAACAGGAAGAGGATCCCTCACCTAAAGGACAGGTTTTCCCACCTGCATGTGCCTTGTGTTCTTTATGCCAGGCTGTCCAAACCCAGATGTTTAAAAAGAAAACATTAATAAAATATAATCATACTGTACAAGCCATGAATTCTGCTCCTTTCTATTCTCTCTTTTTCAACTTTTATAATAACTTTTTTTATTCTGCTTAGTAATTTGCTTTGTTGGAAGAAAAGCATATATTGGGTCTTTTGTGTGTTTTTGAAAATATAACAAAAATGGAAGGAAAAGAAAATGTCAATTCATTTGGTGCCAGATTTAGCACCCACCTATTTCTGAACCTTTATTTTCAAAGCATATACCTTAAAAAACACAAATTAGAATAACTATCCATGCTGAGTTTTTTTAATCATTCTGAAGGAACAAGACCCCAATCGCTCTTACCTCAGAGATGAGAAGAGCCTGCCAATGCAGGTTTGCAAGGGAAGAAGAATAATGAGGACCGCCATTCCTGCAAGGCAGGACGGGCCAATCTCAAGCCACAGAAGGACAGTTACAGCTATCGCCTGAAGGGGTCCAGCCCATAAGAAATGCAAGAAAATAGTCACCTAGGCAAAAGAGAAACATACATGATTCACAAAATAAACTGAAAGCAGAACAATCACAACAGCTACCAATCCAGTCAACATATTTCAGGTGTGTGGGGACAGTCCTGTGGGACCCAGAAATAATGTATATCTAGATATGTTGGGTTATATAAAACAAGTCACTGTTCTGCCCTAAGTGCCTTGTGTTATTCTGCATGTCACTCTAGCTGTCCTGGAATCACTGCTAAGATGGATCTTCAGGCCTCAGCAACTGCCTCCCCCAGCTGAGATAGAACTTACATTTACCATCTCTGACCATCTCCTCATCTGACCATCTCCTCATCTGAAGCCACCAGCAGCTGCACAGAGAAGTTCTGCATCTGAATTCACACCACATGTGAGTCAAACACCTCCTATATGTTTTCTATGTAACAATGTAAAACTTACCGTGGACATTTAAGGAAACCTTGGTATGGCACAAGTTTAATGCTGTCTGGTTTGTGAAAGTTTGTTTGTTTGTTTGTTTGTTTGTTAAGTTTTTCAACCGCCCATCTCCCCCCAATGAGGGAACTCTGGGCGATT